TGTAATTAGCAAAAAAAACCTAAATTAAAGCCGCTCATGTAGAAGCTTCTGTTCACATTAAAATCTCTGCTGCCGCACAACCCGACGGCTCGATCATCGTGTTCGGAAGGACGACGTGAACCGAAGGATGAAGAGGAAGATGTGCAGTGACAGGAAGGAAATCACCTTGTCGCTGTTCTTGTACTTGTCCCAGCTCTTCAGCATCTTCAGCCACTTGGTGGTCCTCTCCACCTCCTGGTGCTTTTGCTGCAGAAACCAGAAGTGACACATTAATAACTTTCCCCTGCAGCGTTTTTTTTTTTTTTTCTTTTCTTCTCCTTCGACGTCCGCCGGGATTCGCAGCCAGAACGGGCTGACAGATAAAAGCTAACAAGTTGCAGGTGATCACGTCGGCGGTCGCTCGAAGCTGTCGAGATGCTCTAATTAAAGCTCTCCGCGGGTGCTGTTCAGGTTTTGCACATTTTTTATGAAGAAGCTTTCAAAAAACCGAGCACACATGTCAAATAAAATCACAGTTCCAGTCGGCTGCTGCTGCTGCTGCTGCGATTCAGAATTTCAACACAAATAAACCGCTTTTGTTTTGCTCATTACGATTTAATTAAGAAATTTGTTTCCAATTTTGGAGGAAATGAAGTTATAAATAATAAATAGACACAAAAAAAATCACCGCGCCGGCTTCTTTTCTCCTGCTTTTCCCAAAACTCGACATTCTCACCCAGCGTGCTGAGAGTAAATTGAGCTTTGCAAGCACAAAAGCTCTTATTTCCCGCGGGACTCGAATGCAACATTTAACGTGTCAACACACCTGGTTGGAGGGTAATATCACAGTTAGAGGAAAAAAAAAACCCAAACACACAACAGACGGTGTGAAAATACTCTCTGAGGTGTTGGAAAAGACCTGAATGATGCCAGAAAGAGAGAGAACGTCGTCTGTTTTCATGTGAAATCGAAGGAAAAACGGTCCAAAAAACAACCGACGAGGACTGAATGTGGAATATATTTATGTATTACAACTCGTCCTTGGAATAAAAGCCTCTGATTGATGCAGAACCAACGTGAATCTTGATGGTTTCTGCCCCGTGAACAACACCAGAGGCTGGAGGTGACTATTTCCTGGAGGAGCTTCCTGTAGAGGTTATTAGTTTGAGCTTCTTTCTCTTTATGATCGTTTTAAGTCGCTACACGATGGTGGTCGTGCTTTCCCCCATCGGACCAACAGAGGGCCGACAAATTAAAGGAAAAAGTGTCTGAACAAGGTGTTGGGCCTCCGGTACAGCTTCCCTCGCCATTGATTCTCCGAGTTTCCGGAGCTCTACCGGAGGGATAAACACCGTTTCCTCAAAAGATATTCCCGTCAAAGCGTCGATGCCCTCTGGACGGGAGCGACGTCTTCCCGAAAGCGCTGATCGGAATAGAAATGATGAAGAAGATGACTCAGAACACTTGATTTGCATTGATTCTTTCGAGGACGAACGGATCCAAATCATGCCAGGAAACCGTCCCCAACAGCGTAACAGAGGCACCAGATCCCCTCGTTGTGGAGGTCAGAGGCTCGAGGTTTTCCTTTAATCTGTCACCCGTCTGTATAAACTGTACTGTTTATAGTGTTTTACTGTCTCCAGATGTGCAGCCAGCAGCCCGACATCAGTCTAGAACTGAAAAAGAAGCTGGATCTAGAAAATGTTTGGGATATTTTTTTGCGTAAAATACAATTAAATCAATTTAATCAGATATTACTGATGTTTTCTTTAGCAGCAAACATAGAAGTTGATTAAAAAAAAACAAAAAAACTAGCTACCATGCATTCATTTAATAATTAAAATGTGTTTTTGTCATTTTCCGTCCGTTTCCAGCTTCTTCTGCTACGTTTCTTACAGCTGACGTAGCCTCTAGCGCCACCTTCTGACGACGGCAGCTCATGGAAACCTAACTCAGAAGTTTATTTCAAACTTGCTTGAGAATTACCGTAAAGTCCGGACTACAAGCCGCTACTTTTTTTTACACGCTTTGAACGCTGCGGCTAATTTACAGATTTTTACAATTTTTACGAATTCACCTCGAGACCAGAGTGACGTTGAGAGCGACGACGAAAGAGAGACCGAGGAAGTGACGAAGTAATTCTGAGGCTGAAGGAGACGACTTTAGTGGTTTCATAGTGCAGGAGGAAGATGAAGACAGCGATCAATGACTTTTCCTGGTGGGCTGCTGTAGTTTTTATTTTCTTAACCAGTCGTGTTACAGTGTCCGGAAAAAAGCATTGACGGTATTTGTGTATGCTAGCGGTACGTATTTAATTAAAAGTTTAAAAAATGTGGACACCTGTGGCTTATAGACAAGTGTGGTCTGTATATGCACAAATGTTTTTTTCGTTTCCGGAATTTACGGTATACGGAAATAGGGCAGCTAAATGAAAACTACCTGTCCGGTTCTGTGCATAAATCTCATGAATCACGAATGTAAAATGCAGTTTCCTGCTTCACACAGCTGAAAACTTCCTCTGTTTGTGTAAAAATGGCTTTAAGCAGCTCAGGTATTTTATTATTTTTTTTAACACAGACAACAAAGAAGCTCACCTTCTCCTCCACCGAGTCGTAGGATGGAAGTTCATTCTCACTGAGGGGAGAAGAAGAAGAAGAAGAAGAAAGGGAATGAGCGAACAAAGGAAATAATAGTGAATTATCTGTTAACCTCCGGTTTGTCCTTGCCGGTGTGTGTGCAGCGGATGAATCACGGTTCAGTTTGCGTGATGCAAATGTCAGACAGGTTGTTGGTATTTTAACGCATTCCTCCCAGAAAGCAGCGATTGATGAAAACAGCCGAGTGACATTCGAGCTCGACTCGCCGCCTGAATGTTATCAGAGGGAGGAAACAACACGCGGCAATCAGAAAACAACAGATTGGACGTTTCTCAAGCTGTTTATCTGAGCTTTAAAGTCTCTGCAGGAGCGTTTTCCTTTGAGACGAGCTCAGTCAATATTCTGCTTTCAGCTCCTGAACACTACCTGCCGTACAGCCGGATAAACAGAAGACGTGAAGATCAATCCCAGCAGAGAAATGTGTTTTTTTCTTACAGCTTTCTTGGCTTTAATACACAACATTGTTTAAAATCAAGCCGAAAGTGAGTTTTTATTGATCCGACGCGCTCACAGTGTTTCACATGTTGGGTTTATTCCACAAAACTACAGGTAGAACGTACAGTTTTCTAGGTTTGTGCACAGGTTGGAATAAACATATTTACTTCTTCCTACAGTTATTTATTCCTTTTCTGTGGGAGACTTTTCTTATAAAGTCTTAAAGAAACAACTGTGAGGGCAAGAATTCATACTACAAGGTGACTTTAATTCAGTAATTAGACCTGATGAGGTGTTTTTCTAGAATCACAAATAATCCATGAACCCTCTGAGCCCCCTTGTAGAGTTTGAAAGACATGTTTCTTTAAAAAAAGTGGGATAAAAGGCCAATATTAGACCCTTTATCATAGACAGAAACTGTACAAACTGGTAGGCGCTGGCTGGCAGTCATTAACGACTCCAGAAGTCTATGTCCTGGTGGCCGGCTGCTAGCTAAACTCTTAAAACACAAACATCGAAAAAACCACAATACTCACCCACAACAATCAAAATTAAAACAACTTAAATCACAAAACTATTTATTTACCAATTTGGATTCCAACATTAACATTCTAATGATTGAATGTGCCGCTAACACAAGGACCGTCGCGACAGTATTAAATAATAAGATGCTCCACCTGGTGGCGCAACCAGGAACTGCAGCTAATCTGCAACTAACATGCATGTTCCTCACCTTCTTTGGTGAATACAACTTTATTCAGTTAAATTTCAATCGATTGACGGTATCCATTACTATCTCTGGTACTAGCTGGGGAATCTTTAGGACGTCTGCAGTTTTCATAAAAGTGGTTTTACACGTTTACAGAAACACAGGAATCTGCCCTTTCTGCATTTCCGTCTCCATTTCAGGATTCAAGAGGTTCAACCATGACGTTAACTTCAAGTGAAGCAAAACAACAACAAATAGTTACTGGACATGCCTCCAGTTCAATGGGCACGTAGAAAATAGAACAATGGAGGGTTTGTTGTGCTAGCGTGTACGATGAATTTTATGTGAATGGTAGTAACGAGGGCATCAAGAAGACATAAAAATGCAGAGCTAGTTGTTGTTGTCCTGTCCAAATTTAGCCATTCAGCGTTGTAAAAGCCCACCTACCCTGGAGTACGTACATTTTTCTTTCCTAAAAATGGTTCTATCAGGAGGAACATGCTAAAGGTTCAGACCAACTCAAAACAGCCAACAAGTTCTGCAGTCAAAAAACGTAGATAATATGAAGCTACGGATAGCTTTAAAACATTTTTTATCTGGAAAAACACAAGCTATCTGCACAGTAGACGAGTCTTTGATGACACAATCCCATCCTCTGATCACGACTGCACCGACTCCTGTTTTCAAATGACGTCCATTTCTGCAATATTTTGGTTTTATTTCTGCACGACGGGAGGAACAAGTGGCACATCATTCACAGCTATATACAGTCTGAACATGACACCAGCTTTCACACTTTAATAAGTAACCCAGTTGTTCTAGAAACAGCCTTGGGTAACTAAAAAAAAACTGCCAAAGACCTAAATAGACATCTTTCCTCGTACTTTCTTCAGTCTAACAACTACATGGAGGCTTTGTTTTCTGCCACCAGTCCTCCCAGTCTGACACATCGTCTCCTCCTGCCCAGTCGCTGACCTTCACCTCAGGACACTTCTGTCTGAAACCATCACAACAACCCAGAGGTTTCTTTGCTCCGCCACCCGCCCAGCTCTGGTCTGGATCTCTACCCGAACACTGCTGCCCTGTGATTGTGGCTAACCAGGCTGTTTCCTGCCTGCATGCTCCAGTCTATATATAACAGTTCTGTTTAAGAGCCTCGTGGCCTCCTAGCCAGCCTCTCATTTTCCCTCCCGTGTCCTTCATACTGCTACCGTTCAGCTGCCTTGGAGGCATCTCATTTAGGCATTAGTGGTGATTGCAGGTTGTGTCATTCTGTGTGAGGTCTTACTGGACGAAGCCGAAGCGGTCGATGACTTTGTACAGGTGGAAGTTGGTGTCCTCCCAGGGCTCCACGGTGGCCTCTTTTCCCTGAAAACCGACAAGAAGGAGACAAAGACAACAGATGTTAAGATTAAAAATGGAAATGTAGGTGCATTTTTGGAGGATAACAAGCTGCAGAGAGTTAAATGGGAAAAATTTCATCAGCTGCTTGCTTTAGTTGTTTTTTATTTATGATGCAAAACAGCCAAAATGCTGCTTCATCAACATAAAGATGAAGAATATTACATTTTACAATACAATTTTACACTTTGGAGGACGTAAGAGGTGCATTTGGTTCCAAGTACCTAAGACCGGAACATGAACACCGGTTAATCTTGTAGTTTAATCGTAGCAACTGGACTTGCTTGAGTTTCTTGAAGACGTTCCACCTTTCATCCAAGAGACTTCATCAGGTCTGACTGACTAGTTGGGAGTTCCAGATACTGATGTCTTTAAGAAGCCTTTAACACTTGAGTTTCGGTTTCAATTGGGGGTTTGTTGTCCCAACAAGTCAGTCAGACCTGACGAAGCCTCTTGGATGAGAGGTGAAACGTCTTCAAGTAACTCAAGGAAGTCCAGTTGCTGTGATTAAACTACGAGCATAACCCACACCTGGATGACTGACGATCTTCACAGACATGAACACCAGTTTCAGACTAAAACCTGTCTCCAATGTTTCGTCGCCATATGAGGAAGATGTTTTTTTGAGATGGAGAATGACAACTGTGGAGTTGGGGAAAAACAGAATGACCACTCTTTAACTAACGACGCATCACGCTGGGTTTGGTTTGTTCAAGTCGACTGCATTTTAAGATAACTATTCTCAGTCTTGTTCTTGCAGGACAGGTTTTTGTAAACTACTTTATGCACATTATGCAAGCACGTCTCCATTGCATGTGCATTGGTAGGATTCCCATAATCCTTAGCTATGTTTAACAGTAACCTGTGCCCTTAACCGCCACATTTACATTGACACTAGCCGCGTTTTCATAGTTAAACAAGCAAAAATAGATGTAATTTATTCTTGTTTCCATTGGCTGCTTTGGAGTAAATAAACTAGCGCCAAAGGTGACATGATTGTAATAAACTGATTAGTGAGTTAAACATCTGCTACGTCTGAATTATTCAGAAAAAGCTTTAATTGTTTTTGAAAAAGCCAAAAACCCCCTCAAGCAAGCAAAATTGGGAAATTTGTCATTTCCGTTGACTTTTTGCAGTGCAGTACTTTAAAGTGCATATATACGCTAAATATGACCAATAAATGAGCTAAATATGCGATACTTTAATAAACTTATGTGTGGAAACGTAAAGCAGAGCTGAAAATGATGCCAATTAGGCGATCAACTGGAAAAAAAAGGGCAACTTTTACAACTGATTATTTCATTTTTGAAAGAACTACACCAACAATGGCAACTTCCAGCTTGTCAAATATGTAGATTTGTTTCTTACATTTGTCATGTCTGATAGTAAACTGAAGCTCATTGGGTTTTTAAACCAAACGGTATGAATGTAGAAAACTGTCTATGATTCCACTTTGTGCAACAGGGGCGAGTAAATAGCAAAACAAGCCTCAAACGTCTGGTAGAAGGAAGCTTTTTCCCTCCTCCTTGGACTCTGGGACGACGTATTTCTCTGTATTCTGACACTTTATAGAGGGAGCAGTGCATCAGTTACTCCACAAAGTAATTGTCACATCAGTTTGTTTGACTGATGCCGTTTGTGCACCGAAATAACCCGAGAAGATCGAGCTCCGAATTACATGCCGCCCACGTTCCTCGGGGGGCGCAGAATCACGTTTTGATTGGCTGCTAGATTACGACTCCGGCGCCCTTGAGAAAGTGTGTCGTCGGCGTGAGTGTTTACGACAGTGTGTGTGTGTGTGAGTGTGTGAGCGGCGATTAACAGGTGTGAAATGAACAGCCAGACGCCCACCTGCGTCGCCATCCGACTCCGGGGCCTCCGACAAAAAAGAAAAAAAAAAGAAAACGGCCTCTAGTTAATTCACCATCATGGAGCAGCGAAATAGAAAAAGCCAACAGGTAGAGAGAGAGCGAGGAAGCTTTTTGTGGGCCGAGAATATCAAGAAAAAGAGCACGTAAAGGTCAGAATGTACCACAGAAAGTCTGCAAATGTCGAATCACGTCTGGTTAAACTGAAAAAAAAAAGTTGCTGCGGGTTGAAGATGTGGCTCCACGGCCCTCTGGTGAAGACATAAAAGCTAATTTGCATTCACAGCGAGATAAAGGAATCTGCAAACGCATCAGTCATCCCGGCTCTGCTGGGGTGCAGAGGCTGAAATCTCAGTGACGGCTTTCAAATCCGGAGGAAGCAAAACCAGCAAAGCTAAACAGCCACTGCAGGCGAGAGGGTTTTCTTTGCAGGTTGCATCAAGCAGGTGTTTAAAAATGCATGCTGAGTGTACCTGACCGGGCCGAGAACCCAACTTTTTCCGACACCTTAGTATATCTACAGATGCCAGACTCGATTTCATCTGTTGCCTTAAAAAAAACTCACTGTGCAGAACTCTTAGGAACAGGTTTAAGTGAGACCGGGAACTAAAAAATGCACTAAACTCGTGAAAAAGCTGTATTTTATGGAGTTAATTAGCTTATTAGAACCAGATCAGGATGGATTGTACCATTTTCTGTTTATTTCTTGACTCAGAGCACTAAAAGCTGTCTGCAATTCTGACCATTTGATGACCAAAAATGCCTTTTATGTTTGAGTAAATGAAGCCCCAATTACCACAACTGGTTAGAAGTATAAATATATATATATTCTTAAAATTCTCGATTGTTATCATTTTGCCGTTGGTGGTTTTCCTTTGTTCCTCTTTTGGGAAGGCGCCAAATCTTCCTCCCTGCAGGAAACAAACCTCTTCACTCGTCTGCCAACACAAGTTGCGAAACCCGAGCGCTGTGTAATTACCCCGAAAAACGTGCGCCTCATTTTGTTGAACTGCAAAGTAATTACAGGAAAAGCGCGTCGGTCGTGTTTATTCGTTCCTTCAATTAAGACGTCGCTCCGACAACGTGAATATTAACCAGAAATTCTGAAGGAAGGAAATGACTGCTGGCTGAGAATCTGCATACAGACAGGTTCTCCGAAATGTCTTGAAAATTAAAAAGAAAAACTGGAGACACGTAAAACATTTTCTCAACTGATCGCAGCTGAATCTAGTTTTTGGGTGTTTTTTTTAAATATTACTTTGCAAACAAAACAGATGTTTCACTAACGTGCTCCTCTGGTCACTGTTTCTGAGCCATGCTGCATTTATTTTATTGATCTAATATGTTCTATTTTTGCTCTAAATTGATCAGATTTGTTTTCTGCCTGCAGTTCAGCCGAATTGTTTTAGAATTTTAGCCACGCGACTGTTTGTCAAAGATGATAATGACTTTTAAGTTGTGCCGAAGAGCTGGTTCTGGTACAAATGGTTTATTTTTCGACCAATCTTTTATGAGATGCAGGCGGAATAAAGCAGTTTTGATGAAATCTGATGATTTTAAGCTTAGATTTTGTTCATTTTTCTGATAGAACTGCATGTCAATCCAACAATCCTTTCAGTTTTTACAGTTTTCCACTTTGATAAATAATGTAATTTTAGCAATTTATTTAAAAAAATCCATTCCTGTCAAACCAGTCAGGAGATTTGGGGATTCAGAGGATTCATTTAGTCGTACTAGATGTTATACATTAAATAAATACTAGTAAAAGTAGACAAGCTTTCAATTAAAACGTGCATTTTCAAGTATTTTCACGGAGCAGAAACGTACAAATGTGACATTTTAGTCCCCATTGTAAGCTTTAAATTGCATCAAAGCACCAAAAATATAAATTCCCACAACAAAGACTCCAGTTCGACTTCTATTTGAATTCCCTGCTTGACCTTGAATGTCTTCAAAAACCTCCTCCCCACAGCAACAGACCCAGAAGTCTGTCTGCGGCTTCACGCGTCAGCCTGACGACCAGATGTCGAGGTGAAATATTTCAGATTTCATCTCCGCCTCGCGCTCCCGCCCAGCGTCTGCAGATCGGTTGAATAAATAACTCAGAAAGAGCTCAGTGTTTTATTCTCCGCCGTGTGCGAGTCCTGAGCTCCACATCATCACGGCCGACACATTTTTCATTCCTCTCTCTGCTTAGAATCAATTTCAGGGTGAAATTAAAGCAGGACTCAGCAGCCTCCTATGATTGTGTGTCACCGCAGATCTCTGATTGACTGCACAACACAGTCCACTGTGTGTTCCCTCAGCGCTGCATTTCTGCGGTTTATCAATATAACTGCAACTTATTCTCTATTAAATCAGCGATTCCTCGATTCTTTTGCCTCAGATCCACTTAACGTGAAGCTTTTATCGCCGCGGATCACTTGCCAGAAGTTGACTTTGAGGCTTTCAAATGAAGGGATTTCTCCTTGCAAGTTGATTCATCAAAAATATCTTAAGCTTTTGAAGCAAATATTTGAGAAAATCTAACATAGTTTATGTAGCAGGATTAACCTTTTCTACCCATTTAATCACCTTCCAACTGTCATTAATCCAGAATACACAAGATCTTGCACCAAAAAGTACATTTGTATATTGTCTTCCTTGACAAGTTGAGTATCAACTCCATTAGTCATTTAAATTTATGAAACTCAAACCAAATCTGATTTATTAGGTTGTTTTTCCACTTTTATTGCTTTGTTTATGACGCCCTTATTGCAGCCTGTTTCATGCTGCACTAAACTGTCACTGAAGTGTCTTTCAACAAAAGACATAAATTTAGAAACACCGTTAAAGATTTGCTTTTAAATGAACAACACTGCGAGTATACGGACATGTTAGCAGCTCTTTAGCGTATTGTTGCGTCAGAGGTTCACTGTGGATGTTGTCAGAGCATCTCAGACCGAAAACAATCGAGCACATCGGCCACAACTCCCCCTGCCTTTCACTTGAGGACTCATAGGTGTCTTGGTGGACTCCCTCAATAGTCTCTTTCTTGTAAGTCCGTCAGACGATTCATAGATGTCTTGGTGGAATCCCTTGCTTATCTTTTATTTTTAACTCCTTAAGAGGACTCATAGGTGTCTTGGTGGCCTCCCTCACTAGCCTCATTCCCATAAGTCCTTTCGAGGACTCATAGTCTCACTAGTCTCTTTCTTGTAACTCCTTCAGAGGACTCATAGGTGTCTTGGTGGCCTCCCTCACTAGCCTCATTCCTGTAAGTCCTTTCGAGGACTCAGAGTTGCCTCTGTGACCTTCCTCACTAGTCTCTTTCTTGTAACTCCTTCAAAGAATTCATAGGTGTCTTGGTGGACTCCCTCACTTGCCTCTTGTTACTCCTTCAAATGATTCATGGGTGTCTTGGTGGATCCGCATCACTGTTTTTTTCTTGTAATTCCTTAAGAAGGTCTCATAGCTGTCTCGGTGGACTCCATCACTTGTCTCTTACTTGTAACTCCTTTGGAGGACTCATAGGTGTCTTGGTGGACTCCCTCAGAGGGACTCATAGTTGTCTTGGTGGACTCCCTCACCAGTCTTTTTCTTGTAACTCCTTTAGAGGATTCATAGGTGTCTCGGTGGACTCCTTCACTAGCCTGGTTCTTGTAAGTCCGTCAGAGGATTTATAAGTGTCTTGGTGACCTCCCTTACGAATCCCTCTCTTGTAACTCCTCAAGAGGACTTATAGTTGTCTTGGTAGCCTCCCTCATTAGGTTCATTCTTATAACTCCTTCAACGCACTCATAGTTGCCTTGGTGGACTCCCTCACTCTCTTTCTTGTAACTCCTTAACAGGGTCTCATAGCTGTCTCGGTGGACTCCATCACTTGTCTCTTACTTGTAACTCCTTCAGAGGACTCATAGGTGCCTTTGTGGACTTCCTCACTGTTTTTTTTCTTGTAACTCCTTTAGAGGACTCATAGGTGTCCTGGTGGCCTCTCTCACTACTCTCTTACTTGTAACTTCTTCCGAGGATTCATAGGTGTCTTGGTGGACTCCATCCCTTGTCTCTTACTTGCAACTCTTGGTGGACTCCCTCACTAGTTGCATTCTTCTAAGTTCTTCAACGGACTCATGGGTGTCTCGGTGGCCTCCCTCACTAGCCTCTTACTTGTAAGTCCTTCAAAGAACTCATATGGCGTCTTGGTGGCCTCCTTCACTAGCCTAATTCTTGTAAGTCCTTCAAAGGATTTATAGGTGTCTTGGTAACCTCGCTTACTAATCTCTGTCTTGTAACATCTTCAGAGGCCTCATAAGTGTCTTGGTGGCCTCCTTCAAGAGTCTCTTACTTGGAACTCCTACGTGGACTCATAGGTATGTTGGTGGCCTCCCTCACAGCCAAGAGTTGTTCACAAACTAATGAAGTGATGGACACTTCTATCTCCAGAACTGTTCTGCTATTAAAGAAGTCAAACAGGACAACATAGCAAAGATTGAGCGTCTCTGAGAACACTCGACATTTTAGATTTGTTCCCAACCAAGCATGACTCTGTTGGATATGAAATATCGCCTCCAATTATTTGCGATCAGCTGCCTTGATTGAGCTGTAAGACACACAGCAGTCAGGCCCCAGTGGGTTTGTCATTTGGAAACAAAAACTATTAATTTCTGCAAAAATCATTCTTAATACCCACAAATGACGAGCGGCGAGTTGTTGTGCGGCCGGCGTGATAACAGACTCCATTAAACTCCTCCCATCGCCGACAATGATTTAACACACACGCCTCCATCATCTCCACGGTCTCTTCACTCCTAATGAGGCAGCTCCATTATGCAGCCTGCTGGACTAAATTAAAAAGACTAATTTACAAAGCTGGTCCTGCTGATACCACCGAGCCGTGAGACCGATGTGTCACTCAGGAAGCAGAGCCGAGAAGCTACGAGGACTTCCTGTGACGGGAGTTCATCTAAATATACAAATATGAATAAAATAACAGTTTGAGGGTTTTATCCTGTTTAATAACTCGATGGCGCCTGATAAAAACACACATTAGAGGGTAATTTATAAAACTCTGACAGGTTTACGGATGTCATTAAGGGCTTTGTGAAGAGGCTTTTCATTTGCAAATTCGCCCTCAGATAAGTGCCTAATAATTTATACACACACTCATGAAATAATAACACATCTGCATAACAATATCAGACACTTTTCTTAGACCGAGCGTGACGGATGCTGAACTTTAAGAGCAACATGGTTATTGATAATTGAGAATAATTAACAGTCAGGTAATGATAGCAGGACGAATATGCGTATTATAGCAGAAACAAATACCATAATTTTCAAGAAATATATATAATCAAAAGACTTCATCATATATTAAACATGATAACAGCAATAAATATTAAAGATGTATAAAATGTAGATGTCTTATGGATTGACTGGTGCAGGATTTGAGGTTTAAAAAGTGAGCTAATGCTGCATTCTTGATGGGATTTGCCATTTTTAAAGAGTTGTACATAAGATATGTACAGCACTACATGGACCAATGAAGACATATTCTGCATTACATCCGCTCTGTGAACAGTATAAATATGTTTGTGAAGCCACAGCAGAGGAGTTTTTAATATGGTTAAGATGAATTCCATCGGTTAAACTTGTCAAACAAATCAAATCCTAAGCCTACGAAGAAAGATTTATGTGTTTACTGTCTTATAATTATGTTATAAACAAGCTGTCACTCTTGTACTTCTTAGAGAGACAGATACTGGACGAATTCCGTCTTTCTCCCGACTGCAATAGATTAAAATTTGCCAACAAACAAACAGGAAAGTGTTTTAAGTGAATGTTTAAGATCATAGGAGTCGTAGCAGTTGAAAAGTAAAGCGCAAAGCAGTAGAGGAAAGCTGCAAAACAACATCTAGAGACGACTAAAATGAAACAAATGCATATAAATTTAGTAAATAGCATCGATTTAATCTCTCGCTGTTAAATTTTGTTGCTCTTTCAGACACTGGCTGAACACTGGGCTGCACTTTCACTTTTCCAATGCCGTGGAAAACAGTTTACGGCCTGTTTACAAGTGACCCCACAGCTTCAACAGGACGGGCACTTGTTGGTAGGTAGCAGGTGTTGTTGAAGTTGTAATACACAAGCATTTCCTTGTTACTCTGAAAATGCCAGAGTAGTCCAACTGGAGCTTGTTTTGCTAACAGTGCTAGGCTAGAGAGGTTTGCTATGCCTGTTTACCTGTTGCTAACGCTAGCTGAAGCACTGTCACGTCTGTCTAAAGTCAGATTACCGTTAAAATCTGCTCTAACTGACAGACATGTCTCTCTAGTGGAGACACAACCTGCAAAAAACGAACAAAAACAACAACCATCTCCATAAATCAGGACATTAGCTGCTTTCATGGTGGCTACGGCTAACTGCTACACTAGCTGAAACAGAGTCTAGAACACAATAACTCATAAAGCTTTATGATGTGGACCCCAGAGGGCTATAAAAGTGATAGAAGATTAGAAAGATTATTAAAACAGAAGAGCAGGAGACAAGTCGATCAATGACAATTAATCAATTGATTAGTAAACGGAGGAGCATCACGAACATCATCTATTTCTATTGTACACATTCAGCTAAAGTAATCCTTATTTATGAAGTAATGTGGTTATAAATGGCGGCTTTCCTGCTATCACATGGTTTAAATATAGAAAACTTAAAGTATGTCAGCTCTGAATATTGATTATCTTTCTCATTGATTACCAATAATCAGTATTGGAGCCTTATATCAACACGTGCTAACATGCGCTGACATGCAGACGTGACCAGATGATCGATTATTGATGCCACAGTGGGGAAATTTTCAGTTTTACAAAGGGAATAATGCAGAAAAACAGGGAATATAAACAAAGACATAAAACAAGCAAATGTCTTCTGATCATGTACAGATTGCTCTTTAAACCCTGCAGACTGCACCTTTAACCAAACTCTGGATCTCAGCTAATGAAACCCCTCCGTGCCCATGACGTCACTCTTTCCATGCCGTTTGGTTTAATGAATAACTCCTCTGATCTTTTTCCTTCCTCTGCTATTAACCCAACAGTCCATTTTTTCCAGTTTCCCGGCCCTCCTAACACAGTTAACGCTCAGTCCGCTGAACACGCGCCCGGTGTGGATCATTAAAGTGGCCCTTAAATGCATAATTTACATGTTAATTCTCGTCGGCAGCCGGCGAGCTTCGGCTGCATGCGAGACGTGGCTCTGGAAAGGCCGTAATCACAGCCCTGCTAAATTTATGAAAATGCTTAAAACACACAGAAGCCGCACGCTGTTATTATTGTGTTTTACGGGCAATGAGGCAGTGATTCATGGAGGGACGCAACCACAGCGTTATGAAGTTTGGTAGCGAGTGACTGACTGGAATCTGGCTGCGGACGACCACAAGAAAAACACAGTGATTGCTGTTGTTGTTGTTGCAGTGGAGGTTACAGCTGCCCCCGAAACCTTTTGTGCGCCGAACACGGGGAGGTTTTTATTTTACCGTACCTTGTCATATTTGGCGACTATCTCAGCTCGCTCCTGGTCAAGTTTTACAGCTGCATCCTGCTCGGTATCAGACGCTGGAGAGAAAACACAGAGCAGAGGAGGGAACATGAATAATTATGGCCTCAGACTTTAACAGAGTCACAGCAACGTTTTCACAGTTTTACACAGAATCACAAGAAACAGGAAACACAGCCTGTGTGTGCAGGTTGTAGCTGTGGTTTTAAGTGGAATTAGTTGTTTTAAATACGAAAGTAAACTCTTAAATGGATAGTAAATGAGCAAATGTGGTTCAATAATAACTTATAATTAAAAAAAAAAGTGAATGTGACAAAGTAGATGTAGACACATAACTAAAAGAAGAGGAAGCCAGAAAATGATTATAGATGAAGCTATGCTAACATTATAAATGGACTGCACTTATACAGTGCTTTTATCCAAAGTGCTTTACAATGTGTTTCTCATTCACACACATTCACACTCCAGTGGCGACAGCGCTGCCATTGGGGGCAACAGTGGGTTCAGTGTCTTGCCCAAGGACACTGCGGTTGTGGAGGGGCGGGGGATCGAACCATTAACCTTGCGATTGGAGGACAACCCGCTCTACCACCTGAGCCACAGCCGCCCTGTTTAAAGTTTGCATGCTAGCACGCTATGTTAGCATTCACCTGATGCTACATTTATTCAAATAAATCTCATTTAGAGAGTCACACAGTGATTTTAAGTGTTGGACAAATTAAAATATTGAAACCGTAGAGAAATACTACCAATATGGCTTAAAAGAAAAAACATTGTGAGCAACAGCTTTAATAAATACACCGGTACACTGTAAAAAAAAAATGAAAAAAACAAATGTAACTGTAGTTTTTCAGTTTTTTGATAATTTACAAATAATATCTAGTAAAATCGCAGATGAAAATTATAAAGACACATGCTGACTGTACAAAACCCCCCACAAAACTGTACATAAAGTCCACTTCAAATATCTGTCATTTTTATAGATAGTAATTAATTCTTTTACATAAAATGACAAAATTCTGCTTTTTATTTTTTTTTTTTTTTACTGTTTATAAAAAACCTAAAAAATATTGTAATTTTCAGATATAAGATTGAAATTTTTTTTTTTACATTTTTTAAAATAAGTTCTCTATGGTTTGTTAAAGTAAAGACAATATTTAGTAAATTTTGTGGGAAAAAAAGTGATAATTTAAATGCTGAATGTGAAAAATTATTATTTTTACTGTTTTGAAACATTACAGTATTCGACTTTAAAAAAAAAAAAAAAAATCCCATATTTTTCTGGCACTGATGGAGCCACATTTTTGAATTATTATTGCCTTTGTACAACGTAACTTTGCAAAAAACAATAAGACCGTAAACTTTTCTAGGCTAAGAATGATCTAATCACAATAAAGATTCTATATTTTGTGTTGAAGTTTGGTAAAAAATGCTTCCTAATTATTCAAGGATTCAATGTTTTATTATCACATGTAGCCAAAGCAAGTTATCAGTGCAGTAAAATTCTTAGTTAGTAATAAACCTTTTAACAGAAAACATCCTTTGAGACACAATCATCACATCCATCCACTAATATAAACATGCAAGAACAATGCAGACAGGTTATGTGCAAGAAAAAACCCCCATAAAAATACATGTGCAACATTTATGGAGCAAAAAAGTTCAGATCTGCTCGTATGAACCGAGGTAGCTGATGTGCAATACAACCTGCCAGAGGGCATGCGCAGCAGAAACCGTGTAAAGAACCTATGCTCCATGTTTTACAGTACAGTGGTGAGTTTTCTTAGAGCCGACTAAACCCGACTCTGCTGCTCACACGTTGGATCATTCTGCCGTCACAGTCGAGCTTTGTGTTTCTGCGGCTCGTCCTCGGCGTGCCAGCAGTCGACGTGGAGAAAACGCACTCGTCAGCCGAGTGAGAGGAGCCAGCAGGAAGCCCTCAGTGCCGCCTGACCTCAGCCTGCAGGAATAATGTGAGGTTGTCTGCGTGAAGAGCAGCCACTTTAAACCGCCAGCTGCTGCTGCCACGCCACAGAAAGGTTCCCAGTGTTTTCTGAGCCAAATGCGTTTATTGTTGTCGCTGCAAACGGCCGAAGACACGTTAACGCTCGGCCAGCGGACACGTCTCGCTTCTCTCTGGACTGTAAATCAGAGTTTACGGCAACAGTTTACACACTGGCTTCCTGATTCGGCCGACTGGATGTGTGCTCGCAAAGTGGGGTCGCGTCGTGTTTACGTTAAACTCAATGCGTCGTAATGGAGGCGCACAATGAATCACACCCGTAAGTAAAGCAAGGAGCCGCCGAACGAGACACTCACGCCTAAAAGCATCTCAGCAATCGCCCAGAAGACGGTGGAATATTTACATGGCGCTTTTTGAAGCTTAATGAGTTTAATGGAAGCTGCTCGGTGTCCTTTCAAAGCACAGAATCCTCCAATAATCGAACTTAAATGAAATGAAAATTGCTGAGATCTGGGACGATCGCCAACAGGAAGTTGGACGGGTCAAGAAACACAATCCATCGGATAGCTCTGACGTGTAATAAACAAAACTTTTAAAGCTAAACCACAGAAATCCAACGAACCTAAAAGCTCTGTCAGTGGATCCAACAAAGCCAAAGATTCATTGTGCACTTCTGACATTTCTGATTCTGGTAGCAGAACTTCTGCACCAAAAAAAACACACTTTGAAATCTAAGTATTGGCTTTAACTCACTCCAATGCGATACCAAGACCTTAATAACTAAAAAGTCTGATTAGAAGAAGGCCTCATAGTCTGGGAGTCGACTAAGTTCACTGAAACTTGTTGTTTTGGGGCTTAAATGTTCAAAACAGAAAAAACTATCGGGTCAAAATCTCAAACCGCCATCAATCTTCAAACAAGATGCATGTCAGTGTAAATAAAGCATCTGATGACGCACAGCAGCTTTAATCTACTGCCTTCAGAGGCCAGCAGTTGTGTAACAGCGATGATTCCTTCCTCTTCGCCAGTTCTTCGGCCCTTTGCGACCTTTTGTTTGACTCCGGTCATTCTCCAGCTTCCTCTCCGGGGGTCTCCGGGGTTCGACGGGGAGGAAAGGACCGGACTGGAATTCCAAAACGCCGCGAACAAACACGCTCCTCATCGGGCCGGCTGGCGTTTTTATGACAGGATGGTGAGTGTCAGTGAAAGGCATGTCGCCGTGGGCTGCCAAAGAGCAGTGGGGGGACGAAGACGGCGCTGGGAGGTGGAGGAGGAGGAGGAGGTCCGTACACAACGAGGCAAAGCGTCCGGGCCAAACAAACAAATACAGTAAAGCCTCTTTCTGCTGGGAATTCCTCAGCGGGAGGCCCCGGCGTTCCCATAGTGAGCCGGAGAGGAATTGCAGAGGAAATGGGATTGGGTCTTTTCTTTACGCTCAGGCTGAGCCTCCACTGCAGCCGTATTAGTATTCCACGGCGGCCTGACTTAAGCTAAATGCAATTAAAGCCCTTTTCATGCTTCAGGGATCACAGCGGCGGCCGTGACGGAGATTGGGTGTTTGTGTTTGCCGGACTTGTCGTAGGTCCGGGGGGTTTGTAATTATTTGCGGGAGACCCCTTCGGGCTTTAAATTTACAAGATGTTTTATATTAGAGGCTTTGAATTATGTTTAATATTACGAGCTGCCGAAGACGTCTTCTGGCCCGGACACGAGAGGTTAATGGTAGAGGGGGTTTTAATTACAAAACTTACTTTCGTCACATTTCTACTTGACGTGGGCTCATTTTTCACTGCAGCATAAAGTCCTAAAACCTCTATGGACACAACAACCAACTAAAAAGACTCCACTTTGTTATGCAGCATGACACAGTTTTAATGCCGTAAATCATGAAAAAAGAAAATGACTTCTTTGATTATTTACTCTACAAAAGTTTAACAAACTGGATCAGGTACAAGTGGTTTAAATAAGATGTGCAGAATAAAGGGACTTTTATGAAATATTGTGACTTTAAGTTTAGATTTAATGAAGTTTTCTGATGGAACAAGACGATGAGTTCAATGTCTGTCTGATTCTGGCTCTGACAAACGGTGTAATCTTGGCTATTTTAAAACACATTACACCCTTTAAACACCCTATTTTGACTAAACTGTCGACTTTGCTGTAAAATAAATGTTGAGAAAACCAAACTTTTCCTTATTTCACAGCATTAGGACACATCCTTACATGTTTCCTGATCCAACTGTAAAAAACAGTGCGAACAAGAGAAAATAAAATTTTTAAAAAATCAAGTAAAAACGCTGTCTCACAACCGAGGAATTCTTAAAAACTCCTGAGCAAACAATTTATGGACAACTATCTTCTATTTGTATCTCGCCTTTGTTGGTTCAGCTGGTCATTTAATGGTCATTAAGCAGGTAAATGCTAATTATTTCACAGGTTTTCCTCCTAATTAATCTAATTGGTCATTTAACCTTAACAATAAGTCCAGTGATCACTCTCTTTTAGCTCTGTTTTTGGTCTCCACCAACTCTTGAGGGAAATATCTGCTTTTAAAGCCACTAAACACTCTTAAATGTTCATGAGCTTGTTGCTAAGTTTGTTTTTCTGTCTGTTAGTTGCTGGGTAGTGGGTAAGGGATTTCTCTTCCTGAAGACATTAATATTTTATGGTTTGACACAGTAGCGACCAGAGGAAGTGGAGACTCAGACTAGCGGCAGCACAGAAAACTGTGTGAGTTTTAGCAAAAAAAGGGCCACCATAACAAAGACTTGTGTGATGTTTAATCTATCTAGTCCAATCTACGCCATAGTAGTGGCCTATATTGACGTAAGACACTGGAGATCAACTATTGATTGGTAAGACTGACATTTTTTGGTTGGAAAAGTTTTCAAAAGTTACATACCTCGATTTAATCAAAGCAAAGAGGACGTTTTAGTGCTATAGTTTGAGGAAACGGACACAACTGAGATGCAACAAGAAGACGAATAAATATGGCTGACACGAGCTGTGATGCCCTTTACACTAAAAAGTCAGCAAACGTTTGAAGTAAACATGTGTCCAACGCATTGGAGATGAAAATGGATTTCCAATGTCCGA